GCAAAGTTCCCCCAACCCTCGGTACTCTTCCTTCAAGACAATCTGATAACTTCTCTTTTAGTATCCCCTACTGGTCTCTCCAGACTACCAATTCAGATGGCTTGAAGGAAGAGTACCGAGGTTTGGGTGAACTTTGCAAGGGCCAGAAGGTTTGGCAGTATAGCCTGTCCGTAAAGGCTTAGAACCTATCTAGTGAACTTAATTTGCAGAAAGAACTGGTAGTGTGGCCTGTCTGTAAAGGTATAGAACCTATCTGGCAAGACTTATCCTAAAAAAACTAGTCTGCAGACTTTAGACCAGACTCTAACCAAACTCAGATTTGACTAAAAAGTCTAAGATAAAAGTCTGAGTCTGGTTTGAAAATCAGACCAGACTCAGACTTAACTAAAGTCTGGTTCGAGTCTGGTCCATGGAAGCACTAGCTGTAGCATCAAATAATATTCTATTTTAGTTCAAATCAAACTATACCTCAAATGAAGCCTACCAATTAGGTGTAAAGAAGAAGAATTTAGTGAAAGTACCTCTATAGATGAGGAATCTGAAGACAATATACAGATTTCTGAGAAGTATCAGATAGCTTTGAATGAGTTAATCGATAAGCTTAAAAAAATTGTACCTGTAAAAAAGGAAAATGTAGTGAAAAGTTCCTTCAAATCTTTTACAATCTTTAGTATTAGAATCTCTTCAAATGGATAAAAAACAACAACAATCGTCGATAATAATATTTATGGCTGCTTCTTATAATAAAGTATCTAAAGAAAAAAGAGTCTATCTTAAATATCAATTACCATATTTTGGTAATGTATGTTCTCTTTTCTTTAAGACATTCTGGAGATGCCAAAAAAATGCCTTATATAGACTCCGTAAATGGGTTAAAAAACGTAAATCGATGCTGCCCCCACCTCATGGTAATATTGGCCGTATATCAGCAAATATTTTACCTGTTGAAACAATTAATAATACAAAATCTTTTATTCGAGAGATAGGAAAACAAAATGATAAGGCAGTAGCTGTTCAAAAGTATACACAGAAAAAAACAAGTGGACAAGTAACTGTAACTTACGAAAAATGTGATTTAACTTTTCTCTCT